AGGGGGGCAGTGGGGGGTGTGTGTGTTTTGGGCTGGGTTTTTGCCGTGTAACCTTCGGGTGGGCCCTCGAGAGAGCTCCTGAAGAGCCCTGCAGCTTCAGCTGTGTCGTTTGGAAAAAGCAGGGAAGCCTGGGGTTGCCGTGTAACCTTCGGGTGGGCCCTCGAGAGAGCTCCTGAAGAGCCCTGCAGCTTCAGCTGTGTCGTTTGGAAAAAGCAGGGAAGCCTGGGGTGGTGTTCGTGGTCTAAAAGCCGTTCAAGTGGGGATGGCTTTTTTCTAAAAATAGTGCCTAGAACAGAACACGAATGGCTGCGTTTTGTCACCGAAATAGCGCTAAAAGTGGCAGGGCGTCTGTGTGTCTGCCGGTAAAACTAATGCAAGCATTGAGGTGTTCAGGCTGAGTGCTGTCATTTTGAGGTCTGTGAGGTTTTGTCATAAACATATTTAAATTGTGATAAATGCCTTGAGAGAGAGGCTCCGTTTTGAGAAAAGTGAGGATTGATTTAAAAAAAAAAACCAAAACCAAAACCAAACCTGTTCAGAAGCAAAAAATGCCAGCCGTTAAAAGATCAGTGTCCTAAATGAAGAAAAAGCTCAATCTTGGAGCTCATCACAGTGAAGGGTTACATCTTCTGAGAGGGAAGCTCAAAATGCGTTTTTGATCTATGTTTTGAAACATTCTCAGCAGCTGAGTTGGAGGCTGCATCAGCAGTCGCAGCAGCTTTCCAGCGCTGCCGGTCTCGTGCCCAGTAGCTGCCACTCGTTCCCGATGGACTCTGTAAGTTCCTCAACGTCCTGAGTGGGTGACCTTGATGCTGTCACTCAACTGTGTTTTCTTAAAGGCACTGTGATTAACGTGAGAGGTATTTCAGCTGTTAAAGGCAGATCCACAAACATCAATTTCCAAGTGTTAGAAAGTTAAAGCTTAATTATCACGATGCCTGCTTTATCGCAGCGGATTGCCAAGCTTCATTATTTGAAAGGTGGTTTTTTTTTTTTTTTTTTTTTTTTTCGCTTTATCGCAGCGGATTGCCAAGCTTCGTTATTTGAAAGGTGTTTTTTTTTTTTTGTTGTTGTTGTTTCTCAGGAACTTCATTTCTGCTGGATTTGTTTTGATTTGGTGGTTTGGTTTTTTTTTTTTGACTGTCTCTATTAGAAACCTGATTTTACAGTGTTTTTTTTTTTTGTCCTGGTGTTGAGAACTAAAGGAGGAATCTACAAATGGGACGAAGCAGTTAGTTCTTTGTGGCTTGAATCTGTGATATGTTGGGTTATAGTAATAAAACCTCTTTTTTTTTTTTTTTTTTTTTCTTTGCAACTGGGAAGTAGTCAACATCTGCAAGCATAACTGAGCTGCTGCTGACCACTGCTCAGAATCCCGGGCCCTGGGAGAGATTTTAACGTCGTAATTTTAGCAGAAGTTTATGGTTTCTGTTACCAGGCTAAGCTGCAGAAACAGTTATTTAACTTGGATTTTTCTGGATCCCTGTTGGTTTTTGTGGATTTGAGTTTGTTTGAGTAGGATAGTGTGCAGCTGTGCCGAATACTTGGATCACAGGACATTGAGGTCAGAGTATAAAGAGGAAACCAGCTGCATAGGGTAGTGCACAATATTTGATACTTTGCTCTACACGAATGAGGATATGAACAGATTTGATAAACCTCATGGGTTATCAGAGTGTTTCATTTCAGCGACTGGGCTGCTGCTCCTTATCTTTGATAATGATTTGGGTAACTCTACCTTAGACTAACAATTCACTGTTATTTACATAACAAGCTTGTATTTGATTGCCTCTCTGATAACTGCTTATTTGTTATTATAAACATTTCTGCTTAGACGAGCTGATATGGTTTAAGCTGCTTTGGATGGTTCTTGTGGCCTTGGATGCTTAAAGGGAGCGTCAGTAAGACTGGACACCTGATTAACTTTTTTGTTGTTGTTAAGAACAACTTTCAGTATCTCCTTTTTTTTTTTTTTTTTCCTCCAAATGTAGTGTCTAAAATTTTGCTACTTTTATCTGCAACATAGAAATACAAGCCTTCCTCTGCACTGAGGGGTTCTAGGACAGGTCTGTGAAGGAGCAGCCTGGTTCGTCAGGAGGTAGCCTGTGGTTAGGATGGAGTATTTGGCTGTTACAGGTAACCA